ATGTGGCTAGGTAGCCAGTAGTTATGCATATCTATATTTTACTATACATATTTAGTATATTTAGGGAAATCTAAACTTTTTCAATCAGGATAAAAAGATAAATAAAAGTCAACATCGATTTTGGACAGAAGTGTTTCGTTTGCCTTGGTTAGGGCTTTTAAGTACTTTTAGAGGCAGCGGATTGGGATCCGCTGCACGAGTACTTGGTTCTTGTAAAGAACGAAAGGTCGGTGATCTAAAGTACGCTTCCTCAAGCGTTTTGCTACGGCAGCCCCGCTGTAGTCATGATGGTTGTTACGTAGAATTAATCCGTTTTCCTTAGAGAAAAGAGTCTATAATGGTGAAGTGAAAACGACAAGATCACAAGTGGCAATTCCTTTTGACCATATTAAAATCTTTTCTGACCACCCACCACACTAAACTTTCTTTTTGACCATACCAAATTCTTTCTGACCATACCAAATTCTTTCTGACCATCCAAATAACTGACATCTAGATGGTAACTTTTCCACAATTCGACATTGGTGCACAGTAAAAGCTACTGGTATTTTGTATCAGTAAGGTGCAAATACCGGGCTACGACACCGGTAAATACTTTTTGTGAGACATCACACAGCAACTAACATTGTACCAATTCTCGCTCGGCTTACTATATCACTCGGTCTACAGGTGCGGAAAATTATCCGCTGCCAGCATCAAACTTATTGAATAATGCTAGTCAATATCCAGCGCAGGATCTCGATCACATAAGAGTCAACACGTCTTTCACTTATGGAGTTAAAGATCAAAATGGGCTCTAGAGGCGAAGACAAAATGTTGGATCTCCGTGGTGTCGAGAGAGGTGCACAAAGCATTGCTCCAGGAACACTTTCGAAGATGTTAGCAGCGTGGGATAATATTGTGAAGGTTGGGATTAGAAGGATCATCCAGCGCACTGGGACACTGGGATGATCGAAGATAATAGCATTTAAAGGAGTGAAGGAACATTAAATCGGCTTCAAGGCAGAAAGAAAGGATAAAAATGCGCTCCTAACGTTTGGTGGAGCATTGGAGCTATCTGATCATGCTCGCGGTTCTTACAACGTGAACGCTCCATTTAATTCGGTAAATTACTTGGATCTCCGACGAAAGGATCTTATCGAAACAGCGTTGAAGTGGGATGAAATGAAACATGACCTCACCGCATTGATCACTCTGCAAAATCAGTATCATTTTCCGAAGAGATTGCTGGCTTAATGGTGTCACTCCTCTCATTATTGAGATGGTGCTGAAAGACAAAGATGGATTTCTTGACGATCAACTTCTGGAGAAGGCGGTGCAATATTTTGTGCAGTACATTAAAGCAATTTATGCTGGCTTGTTACATGCACTCTCATACCAGCTCTATTTGAATACGAGCGAAATTATAATGTTTGTCAGACTATCGCTCTTGAGTTGTCTCAGCCTCAACCACTGATACCCGACGATGTGTGAGCAGCCGAGTTCAAAAGTGTGCAGGGAATGACGCCTGATAGATTCATTGAAACATTGCTGCAAATGAAACATGGCAAACCCACTGATGACAGCTCTATTCTAACTTACATGCCAAAGTACGTCTGGTATTGTGAAAATACTGTAGCATCCCGAGATGGACTGGACAAGTATGGAATAAAAGCACTTAAAGCACTTTACAGTAGTTCACATTTGGTAGACGATGTCATTCCAACATTGCTCAACGGAAATGCTCAGTCAAAAGCAACCGCCCAGCGACTCATTATTGGTCTCGTAACCTCTTTTTCGCAAGACAAGATGCATCCAGCTTATGTTCAGAAGATTCTCACCCGAATTGCTGATCACAAGATGGACAATTTCAGTTGCGACGCATTAGAACAGTATACTTTGCAGTACAAAAAAAAGTTTACGCTGCTAGAAGAGAGCGAGCGACTAAGAACTCTCGAGCACTTTAAACTTAGTTCCAAATCAAAATCAAAGGCACCTCAAGTTGCACCATATACATCCAAGGCGGCAACCGGCACCATCTTGTAAAGAGAAAGCGTGCGAACAAGGGAGCAGCAATTCAGTCTTTACCCAGGCAGTGTACTAAACTGTTTTTTCAGTCCTGAATGAAAAGGGATAAGAAAACCAGAACTCTCCGCTTGCTTCTCCGATACGAGTTTAAGAAACTTGTGAAATAAGCGTCAGTAGATGCCGTCAAAAATGAGGAGCTTTATTGCCGAGGAGCAAAAGTTAAGATGCATACGACCAGAATACGAAGCATGCTACACCAGAGGTTAAAGCAAATGATGTGATATTGATGATACTGTTGATTTTCGCTCTCTGTAACAATCTTGCAAGCTCTTTAATATAGTAACACAGATCATGACGTAATATGACCTATTTATCCATAGTATTAGTATTGACTAATATATTTTTTTATTATTCCTCTCCCAAACGTTAAGAATCGCCATTGCTTTTTTCTGCCATGTCGTACACTAACACTTTTACACAATAGGATGCAGTACTGAATACCGGGCCAATCGTGCTTCCATAACATTTCTAGAAAACTTGGTAATCCCCGGGTACGACAGTCTTTTTGAATACGACACTTCTTCCGTGATACTTCCAAGTGACATACAATTAACATTGAAAGCAATGTGTTTGATGAGAATCCAACTTGTAATGACAAATGCTGTGTGTTTTTTTACTCTTCTATATGAAAACATTCGATGGATCGTTGGCAAGAGTCTCTTTTGCGTCCGCATTGCCTTTAAAAAATACCCCCAACGTCCATCATAAGAAATGCCAGTATTTGCCGGTGGTATACAACCCAGATATTCAGCATTAGAAACACTTTTAAATCCTCAGCACGATACTCTTCGTCAAGCAAAATATAGGATCGCACGATAACTTATGAAGCGTCATAGTAAACTCGGTCAATGGCTATAATCTGATACCTGCTTGTAAGCTCCACAAGAAAATAATCCTCGTCGCCTGGAGCATTCGGATTCCCATAAAACCTTACAGAGAAACTCTTTCTGAGAAAAAATAGAGGTAGAATTACAGAGGACCCATCAAGGTTAGATCAATTGATCTATCACAGGCCTGCAGAGTAAACTACCGACATAACCGGAGCAAGCTGTGCAATTTCAGCCACCCAGAGTTTCATTGTTAATGACACATCGGTAAGATGAAAGCCATAACAGACGCTTTATGACCAGCAACAAAGTGCAGAATGCTTTAGCTGGACTCAAGCCCAATTTGATCTTTGACGAGGTTTCGGAAATTGATTTCATAAGCCAACAGGGTGCAACATTTGACTTTAAGGTCCAACATTTTAAGCAAGAAAAAGCTTTTAGAGTCGACGAGAGGCCTGAGTTGGCGAAGCGCATCATTTCTGTGCAAAAGTTGATCTTTTACGAAGACATCATCAATCTTGTGAAACATCTGTGGAATGACAGTATGCTTCCAGCTGATGTTCTGCGAGATCACGCAAAAAAATTGAAAACAAGATTATTTTTTTCATTTGTGACGTGCTGGGAGAGTACACTTTGCAGTAGCCTCCGCTGTTATAGAACATAAAGCGAAACATGTCGAAGTTCCTACCGAACCAAATCCAACTGTACCTATACGTCCACGTATCAGGACAGAGGTGACGTTTGGCAATGCAAACTCAAAGAGAATGCACATGTTTGAGAATGAAGCACCCAAACTCTCACCTTAAAACATATCGTCTGCGGTCTCAATCCGAGAACTTCAATTGACGTGTGCGAAGAAAGCAAGCAAGGTACTTTTGCTCTTGGCAATTCACCAGAAAATACGCATGAAAATCTTAAGAACAAGGACGTAGCAAATGCATTTTATATCAAGCAACGTAGTTAGTTCAGTTACGAAACATTTGGCAAGAAGGCACACAAACTCCATTTGTTTAAGCCAGTTTTAAGTGTTTTTGAACAGCATACTATGTTTGAATGGCAAAAATTAAATATTTTACTACATATAATAGCTATTATCATTTTTTCTTCTGTAAATAGCTCTTGCTTGCGAATTCTAGTATTCTCACATCAGTTGTAGTACATGATGATTTCGGCGCTATCGCAGTGAAATGATTTCTCACAACGGCAATAAAATAAACTATTTTGTAATAGTAATACTACTAAGAGTAATAGGTCATTCGAGCAGCATTTTGACGCTGCATTTGACAACTTGCCAAACAATGCAGTACATACCACTTGCATATACAAACAGCTCGCGTGATTGTATATACTAGCATGAAAAAAGGACTACAAGACTACCGCAACTTCCATTGCCAATTGCTTGCTTTTAAGTTAATGCACTAAATCTGATGAAATCCAAAGTCACTAAATCTTCAAAGTGTGAACCGAGCATTTGTTGGAATCCATACACCAAAAAAGATCAAGGAGCTGTGATGCTTTAGAGATTAAAAAATTTCAAGATAATGGACTAAAGCGAGCTATGTAGTGGAGACTGGTGAGATAACATTCAACTCCTCGAGTGGCGGCATTTAAAGTGTGTTTGTAACTTTAGGTTTTTTACTGCAAAGTCTCCGATTTATACTCTCGAGAGCATTTTGTGTATACATAAAAAAATTATTCAGAAATTGACATCAACTTTAAGCATATTTTTAATGATATTAATTTTTCTTCTTGGCTCGTACAGTTGCTTTTTTGAGAGTACGAAAGAGTAGGTAGAATGCCTTTAAAATAGTTTGTGTGCTTGTTGACCAACATATTTTTCTCTTGGTTTTAGTATGTGCGTCTTTGTTGCCGAAGATCATTTTTGAATTTAACATGTGTCCCAGGATACTTTTCTGTTGATTTTAGTATAGGGATGGGTCTGCACTAAACATTAGGGGGTCCAGGGTTTGTTGATTAGTTTGCACGATCCAGTGTCTATGTCCTGACCATTCATCATAGCTTCCTCGGAAAGTTGAGTCAAAAAAGATGATCAGAATGATGTGCATACGGTCCCGTCTAATGGCCATCCAAGCCGTAAGACATAGCTTCATTTAGTTCTCCTCAAGTGTATATTAGTCTAATGTGGAAAAAGTTCAAGTCATACCATCGCGTTCCAAGCAGCTAAATAGCGTATCAATGTCGCTTTAAATGTTGCTCAGTTGAGCGCATCGCTATAAGCCAGTAATCCGTGACTGGGTCACTCACGATCTTATCAGTTGTCGAATGAAGCAACAGAATACACTTGTAATTTAGCTGACGTAGAGTTAGACAGTGTAAATTAAAGCTGTGGTATTAGGCTCTGCTTTTCTTATTCGCCGATGCATCGGAATTGCAAGACCAACGTCTAGCTTGTCAATTGCGACTCACTATCGGATAAAATTCCATCCCCCATGCACAGAACTGTGGTATCACAGCAACCTGAAGGATGATAGAACTTCATTCTAGCAGCTTGAATAAGTTTTTTAACAGCAGGCTATACATATCGACCAAGCCCATCTCAGCTACTGACAACGTGACGAACGGTTGGGTGCAATATCCGTTGCCGTGCGTCAAAATGATACGTGTGGTTTATTCAGGATCACCGTAGCACGTAAGGAAGTGCTAAAAAGCATCAGAATGCAAAGTCACAGGCCAACGAATCTCACGCAGAAAATATTGACAAGCAATTGTTCTAACAGTAATACCGAGGCTTGCGTTTTTCTCGACTTACATTTGTGAGTTCAGTCTGATCGAAAATTTGATTTGAGATCACGAACCTACCCGCCAACATCATCATACTGACGATTATGTCTCGCCACGTTTCTTCTTATGACGACAGTTAAAAATTTTTGTGAGTCCATGAGATTCCAAATAATAGCCTTAATTCTAGAGACTGTTTATTTCTAGTTTTCAAAAAATATTTTAGACTAAGTTCAGAGTAGTAGTCAACTTTGCGCAGCAGTGACAGCTGCGCTGGGTCCAAGCGATCATCTTATAAGTAGCCAATGAACGTTCCCTTTCTGGTAGCAGAGATTGTTTCAGCTCCTTTCTTGAATTTATGTTTTTTTATTACTACAGATCGCTACATTAAGCTTGTTATAAATACATGCGATAAGCTAATTTTTAAAAGACCACCGTTGAGGAAGCTGACCTAAGTTCTTCGCAGCAGCCTTAAATGTACGGGGCTCTTTAATTCCTTCTTATTGCTTCACTAAGCACAACACCGAAGTCGTAAGCCTCTTCAAAAAGCCTATTTATTACACATATATAAAAGCTTCTATTTTTGTTTTTAAATAAAATTTGTCTGTCGCAGAATTAGCTCTGAGAGTAGTGTACACAACGTTGACATAAGAATCCCCTTAATTTAAGCTAGAATTATGCTCTGGATCACCCGTAAATCCGCGTTAAGGCGGACCCAATTTAGACTGTTTGCCATCTATTTAGCTAAGTATAGGACGGCTATATACTTAAATCGTTAATGATTTTTGCTAAAAACCAATTACTTGCATTCACTTATAATATTTGCTTGATTCTATCATTTCTAGCAGCTTTTTCGTGCTTGGTAGCCTGATTTTGCGAGTTTCTGCAATTGTTTAGTACGTTTACCTGGTTATATTGAAACGTAAGTAGCAATAGCCGATCAAGTTCACAATCGTTTAGTGACACGATGACTTTTGCAGGCTAGTTGACACTTTAGTGCAGGTATGGGTTCAAGCAGAAAATTAAAAGTGAATATATTAACCTGTTAGATCCTGGTTCATCAATCCAATTACATCCAGTCTAAAAGTTACATGCATATGCTTGTAGTTGATGTTGACTTGATATTGCAACGTCAACATCAACTACAACTGCAAACACCACCACCACCATGCGGTTGTCATCCTAGTGTATAGCGTGTGATGTAACACCCCCACTCACGCTTGACTTAGTATCAGATAAGGACTTGATACCACTGGAGGCACGTAGTTCAGTGAAACGAAGTGTCACCAATGCCTTCGTCAGCAAGTTGATGGTTTGTTGGGATGGATTTGATTTTAATCTCACCATTTGAGACGCACTCACGGACAAAATATCAATATGCTTTGAACGTGC